ATTGGCCAGTTGCTGCGCGGGTTGCTAGGGCGACGGATGTGCTGCACCTGCCGTTTCTGCTGCATGGCCTGACTGACGCCGGCAACGTAACGCGCAAACTCGGGGTCAGAGCCAACTGTGCATGGAAAGAGAGGATAAACACAACTATGAGTTTCTGACATCCTCAGCTTTTCTCTTTCGCTCCCTGGAGCTCAGTCCGTTTAGCCAGACTGTCTACCATAGCAGAAAAATCACAATGGGCATAAGTCAACCCAGCACAATAGGCCTCGACTGCAATCAAAAGAGTCTGCTGCACTGTAAAAATAGCAACTGACAGAGGCTAAATTCAGCATAAATTGTCAACTTACAGTGGCAGCTACATGCAGGGGAAAATAGCTGCTCACACTATCTGACCTACATTGATTATGTTACACAGACCAGGCTGCAAAGTTTGCTTGAATGGTTACAACATAGGTTATAAATAGTAATAAATAGTATCAGACTGTTTTATTACACACTGCAGCATGACATGATACCTGCCCAACGACAAGCCAATCTGTCATACAGAATGCAGTAAATAAAGCCTAATAAACATAGGTTGAGTGTAGTCTTGCCTTATTATTTCCTTGGAATTTGCCGTCTTGACACCACTTCGGAGTGCTTTGGCTAAAGACTACAACCAGCAGGGACACCATTTATCCTCACTGCCATTACACTGCTTTACTGTAACGTAATGATGTTGCCCTAAGTGAATGATAATAATCTTTGTACAGTAGTCCATTCATGTTATCACCTGATACCTGCAAACAAACTTTCTTTTATAGGACAATAAAGATTTTAATTTAGATCAGTAACTTTTTATATGTCAGCTGGATACCCACTGCCAGCATCTTAATGGTTTCAACTGGATGATATGGACACTTAGGGTAAGTTAGGACACCCAAACGCTATTGAGTATTAGTCTCCTGGTATAATGAATAACTAACTAATAACTGCATTGTTGGTCATAAAAACATTGCTAAGCTGCTTCTGAAGGCTTTTTTAATAACGCAACGATGTCAGCAAAGCTCCAAGCTTGGCCCTCCCCCTCACACTGCTGACATAACAGTCTGACACTGAGGAGCATGGGAGGTTGAGACCAACACTCCTATTTGGACAGCTCTTCGTGACGAAAGAGATGACAGGCCATACCTTTATAAAAATGGTGCTTGGAACAGTAACAACTATCCTGGAAGATGTACAAGGTCCAATATACAGGATGATGATTTGCAGAGAAAATGAATGGCATGCAGTTTTGTCTGTTAATATCCAATAACACTACCTAGTGAACAATATTTGAATCCCAAGCTCAATCTGATTGAAGACAAGAAAAATGATTAAGCCACAATCAACCACAATTCAGCCATTATCCACTTATCTGGACAAAGGATGACACACTGTATCATCTCATACATAAATGGAGTGTGAATGTGCAGCTTATGTCTTATTTGTCTGTTTGGGGGTGAACTTTTAATGAACCTGCTGCATAACGTCAGTCTCGGCACACCTCATGCATAAAAGTAAGGTGGATCTCACCTGCTGGGTCGAAGGGCAGCGTGTCTCCCAGGACTCCAAACACTCCTTCACTCTGGTCCCTGTTGGGCCAAGTATTGTTGCGTGGCCCCTGCGGCTTCTGACCCAGCATCTCTGACATGACACTGTCCATGTAGGTGCTAACCAGGCCCAGACTGTACAGATCTGAGCTCAGATCCGGCAGTCCAGGAGACCCCCACTGCCCTATTGGACCCAGGGGTGACAGCCCTGCTGGCGGGCCTTGCGGTGGAGGCTGTTGCCCAGAGGTGCCGAGCCACTTGCTTGCCACTCTTTGCTGTGGCAGGACCTGGGGTGGGGTCTGCTGAGGAGGAAGCTGGGGAGGAGGTGGCTGCTGCTGACTGATAGGCTGCAGGAGGTGCTGGTAGTACTGCAGGGCCTGTGGGGAGGGCTGTTGTGGTGGAGGAGGGGGCTGCTGTTGTTGGGGCTGTAGTTGTTGTGGAGGAGGTGGCTGTGTTTGTGGCTGAGGCTGCTGCTTCTGCACCGCCTGGGGCTGGGGTTGGGACAGGGTCTGAGCTTGGGGCTGCAGGGCATTGTGAGAGATAGACTGAGAAGTTGGCGGAGGTCCACTTGGGGGCTTCAGCTCAGCGGGGTTTGCAGAAGCCACAGAGTTCCTCCTCTTGACCAGGGGCGATGCCTGCTGGGATTTTCCCATGTTGAATCCTGAGAGAAAGTCGATGACATCCTGCATCTCTTGGTCCGTCGGCAGGTTCATCCCCTGGTCCTCGGACACTGAGCCGTTGGCCAGCTGGCTTTGCTGGGTAGAGTCGGGGGTGCAGGACAAGCTGCTCATCTGCAGGATGCTCTGTAGCCTCCCATCACTGTGGCCCAGGCTCTTGGCCTTATCCTCAGAGCTACTGGTTGTTAGCATGGTGCGAGACGGGGTGTTAGGGATGGAGTAACTGCCCCCACTATTAGAGCTGGATGAGACCTTCTTGGTAAACTTTGAAGTCAGCTTGGATATTGTTTTGGGCAATCCACTGGAGGTCTTGGAACTGGTGCCTGGAGGCAGGTCTGCCTGACCGCCATAGTCTGGGCTCTCCCGCTGCAGCTGTATCTGAATGGTGGGCAAGGCTTGCTCTCTTTTGAAGGGAAGAGAATAACAATTATTTAAATATTTTGGATTAAAAGTACTTATTACAGTTATCTGAATATACTCAACTAAGGGTTCTTTCACGGTTGTAGTTCGGGGGAATAAAATTATTAAATAATATTTATTATTTAACATTCACTTACTTTCTCTCCTTCCACCTGTTGATGTCAAACACTGCTGTGTACAGCACATCTACCAGACCAAGTGTCTTCTCAGGGTCCAAGCTCCGCTGGAGCAAGGACATAGTGGCTGGGTCCTCCTTCAGACACCTGAACATGACGGGACAGGACATCAACTACAAATCCAACACAATTATTTGCACACAAAAGCCCAGGTGCATTTGCTAAAGAGGTGAATACATGACATTTGATATTCAGAAACAAGAAATTGCTAATATGTACTATATATACAGGCAGTAACCAGACTCCCATTCATCTTCATTGTGTTGTGAAAGCCAGATTATGAGTTTTATATCCCCCTTTAGGGAAGCCTGTTAGTGTACACTGAAAGCAAGAATCAACAATTCATTTTGTTCTCTAATGTCTCTTCTCTCTTATCTGACTGTGTATATGTAACTTGCCCATTTAAGCTATTGCATTTACATTCTGTTTTGTGCATAAAACCACAGAATCAAATATTGGTGCATGTAACTGTAACTGGGTAATAATCCAAGTTACCTTCATATGTTTCATATTTCTCATCAAGACTTGGTGTGTTTAGTAAGTTAAACTTGACCTGTGAGTATTTCTAACCATATAAAAAAGGTTTCACAGTTGCTTACCATGTAGAGGGAACCTGGACCACCACCTTGGAACCCTCAAGAGTGATCTGGGGAGCATAGGCCTCCTTGTTCTCAATCTGAGCTGTATCAACAACCACCTGTTGGGACACAGAAACACACCTACATAAGCATCTCCTCAAAAAATCTTAAAATAAATAGCCATTTATTCCATTATTATGAATTCTGCTTGTGCAAGCAATGCACAAAAGTTTAGAGCATACTGTCTGTGGAACTGGACAACGCAACAAAAATGACAGTCTTGAAACAAAACAGACTGGTTTTACAGCCTTTTACAGACATAGCCAGAAGTCAAAAGCCTTTCATTGGTGTCTGGCATTAATTTCCCACCAAGCAGAGAGAGGCAGTTCAAGGTGAGGAAGCTGAAAGCATTCAATCAGCCAGTGACAACAAACAGGCTAGCCTTCCTGCTAGTCAAATTTATTTGCCAGTTCTTTGAAAGTGGCCTTGGCTCCTTGAGACCCACGCAGCTGGGTCACAAAGAGGGAGAGAAAGTGGGAGGAGTCCATTTCCTGTATTGCAGGAAGTTACCCTATTGTTATTTTAAAAAAACAGGTGTATCCTCGGAAACCCCTGGCTGCCCATGTGAGAAAGCCACACACGCACACGCACACGCACGCACACACATGCACACACACGCAGTCTGTCAGCCATGTTGAAACACATACGATAAGGTCACTGGGGGCAGGAAGGAGGAGGAACGGCAGCAAAGAGACGAGGTCAATGTCTTTGCTGAGCTCCGAAAGCCATGACTAGAAGGCAAAAGGGAGTCGCTGGTGCATAATGTTTCCAGGAACAACAACAGAACAGATGTGGTGATTCTTACTGTTAGTGTAGAAGGAACAAAATGGGGAGGGAAAAGACTGTGGTGGGGGTTACGGTGAGTGTATGATGAGTGTATGTATATGTAAGTGTTTTAAAAAGTGTGGGGAAGATACTATGTGTGAGTGTATTGTGTCCATGCATGCTACTGCGTAATCTTGAGTGGACATAGGCTCAGATAAGGAGTTAATGCAAATCACCCATCCATCATCCAGGGATTGTTTTACAGTGTTGGCAGGGCTGGATGGGAATACTCCTTCAGCTTGACACACACAACAGGGCAGACCACACAGACGAAATAAACATCGGAGCATAAACACACTGGTGTTACTCTGAGGAGAGTCCTGCTGCTGACCCTCCCTCCCTGTGACTCTGCTTTTCAACAGGAGGAGTGTGTGTGGGGTGGGTGTGGGGTGGGGGTGGGGGGGTCTGTTTGCAGACCCACCCAGGCAAGCCCATCCTTCAACCAGATGCTGCAGGAATGTTTCTTCTCTTTTGTGTCTCTCTGGTGTTTGTTTACACCTCTCGGCTGCCTCAAAGCAAGCGGACAGATCTCCTCATCTCCATTACAAATCTGACAAACAATGGGATGCAAGTCGCCAAACCCACGGACGCACAAAAGGAGCGGATTCGGTAACTTAAGCAGAAATGTCAGTGAAGTACAACAGGCCTGTTCACGTTAGCTTGCCAGCTTCTCTGCTTTGTAGTATCTAACTACACTGTGGTGATGGACGTTAACAAGAGCAAAGTATTGAATGAGGATCCAATAGAGAACTTTCTACACAACTGTTTATCATAGCATATCTTGCTCAAACAAGATTGAAAAATGTGCAAAGGAAAATCCAGAGCATGTCTGTAATAGAGAAAAACATCCTTTTACGTCCTTTTTCACTTTTATCTTTTAACAAATACTTGAACTGTGGCTTATGTCACGTTATGCTCACTCACAAGTTGTTTAGAGCCCAAAAATGTAAGCTGGAATTCAAAAACATATTTAAAACATCCCAGTATATCCATCTCTTTGATAAATACAGTCTTACTGTAGCCTTGTACCCTGGTCTTTAACATCTCTACTCACCAGACCAGCCTGGGCAAACAGCAGCTGGACGGCCGTCTTGCAGGCTCCTCTCCAACTGGATGGGCAGACTTGGTTGAGGACCTCAGTGACGGGAGAGTCGTCCCTGGGGGTCACTCCGTTCTGGCCCAGTGCCTCCTTAATGAGCTGCAACATCGTGTGCTGAGGAGACAAAACACAGTGGGCAGTCAACAAAGCAGTCCGCCTTCACGGTCTGCTAATGTTACACTACAGACCAGAGATTTCACTTGTTCACACATCTGCTGAGGTTATCACTCATTCCTTTTTTGGTAACTGACAGGGTAACGTTTTTGCGAACTAGGTTGGTAACTAATAGAAATAGTATGAAGCTGACCAGTTGAGTCGGGGACCATACCGTTTTCAGCTTGAGGTTTTCAGCCGCTGACTCGTTGAAGGACACTCCTTTGAGGAAATGTGAGCCAATCTGCACAGGGATGGTGGGCAGCTCGCATTGGATGGGCTGGGAGGTGGTCTGCATCCTGCCTGCCTGCTGGGCCTCTGCTTCACTGCAGCAGCCCTGCGAGCGCACACACACACACACACACACACACAAGCATGTAAACATATGCACATTAGTGCACACATGATGGAGACATGCAGCTATGAAAGAATAATTGCTGATCTGTTAAAAAAACAAAACAAACAGTAAACATTTTGCATGTGTAGATTTAAAGAATCATTAAATCTTTGGTTGTATTTTCCAGTTACACAATTGAAGATTATGCCTCCCTACATATCCTTCTATTAATCTTCTTAGACTTCTTGAGAGTGAACCCACCTGTAAGGCTGCCTCCACAGCTTTGGGGTTAAGAAAAAAGCCGGCCTTCAGTGCGTACTCACTATGGCCTAGGCTTTCAAGTGCTGCTTTGTAGGCCTGGAGATAGATAGAAAACATCACCGGCTATCAGTCCAACATTGATTCATCACCAACAACAGTTACACTTCACTGGTACAGTAATTTCATTAATGACATCATCAAGTTCCTGTTTATTAAAATCAAAATGGCTGTACTTTTACCAAGAAGTGATACTTTTCCCATAAATCCCATAGGTGGATTTCATTCTTAAAATACAGGAAATCTACAAGTCACTGGGATAACAGTACGTGATGTGGTCTTTGGGGTGATACTGTACCTGTAAAGCATTGTCAATCTTCATGTTGAGCTCCTTCAGCTGATGCTCAGGGATGTTTGTGTTGTTGGAGCAGAAGAGTTGCTGAACCTGGATGCCTGCCAGGCAGCCGTCCCGGCCCCTCTCTCTCAGCCTTGCCATGGCCTGAGGGCACAGCAGAGTACTGGGTCAAAGTGACAGCAGGGACATCTACACTACTACAGCACAATCTCACACATAAATGCAAGAAATACTTGAGAATCAGTGGATTGTACTGCAAATGTGATAGCTTATAAGGATGCATAGAACAAAATGTGTTTTAAAAAGGATAGGAGGTTTAATTTCTTTGCAATATAACTGATGAAATAAAAGTTTTGAAAAAACTGATGTTAAGCACTGGGAAATACATCTTTTTAAAGCATGTCTGTAGCTTATGACAAAAAGAGTCCTGGCAGCCTCCCTCTGCCTAAAAGGCCCCCCAGCACATTCTACCGGGGTCTATGGAGGCCTAGTCCCCTCCAGGGCTAACACTCTGCATGCCAGGGCTTAACAGACCAATCAACCCACCATTCTCCCCTCTGCTTCACTTTATACAACAAAGCTCAAATGGGCCAGTGGGACTGATTAGCCTGCGGATTAGTTTGGTCCTCTTACAAAACTGCCTCCTTTACATGGGCTGGGGGTTACAGAGGTACAGAACGTAACACTGCAGGTCTGAAGACAAAGTGCAGCCCAAAAAAGAGGAAATAGGAAATTGAGGCTGGAAATCATAAACGGCTGGCATTTCTCAGGAATGTGTAACAAGTCAGCTTTTCACCTCACACAGATAAACCACATATGTCCAAGGCCCAGACCAGGAAGAGTCCTGGGGCGCCCTGTAGCTGCATACCTGAGCTGCACCTTTCCATGAGCGGGAGGCTTCCTCCAGCTCTGTGAGAGGCCCGAGATCAGAGCTTTGGGAGCGGGCATTAGCGCAACGCTCTTGGGCCTGGGCAAGAGCCTCTGCCAGGCAGGATTGAGCCACAGGCTGCACCTTCTGCAAAGCCTGGGACAGAAACTGGAAATGGACCTGCATCACCGTGAGGAAGCACCGACCCAGCACCTAGAAAGACATGACAGAGATTACTGTAAAAGCATACCTCATTATCGTTCTTAACATGCTGGAGTAGCTGAGTCAGAATGTCTGACACACCAAACAATATGGATGCCTGCAGGCCAGGAAACTAACATGTATATCCACATGCCTTAGTGACTGGATAACACTCTGAATAACTGACTTCTTGTAATACTTAACTAACAAAACAACCTTTTGTTAGTGTTTTCTTTTTTACAACATGAGAACATAGAACAAAAGACTTTATTGCACTATATGGGTTAAGCAGGGAATTTCCTTGGAATGAGGTGCAGTATATTATTTATATTTTTTACAGAGTACAACATCTTTCAAAATAAAGGGAAGATTTTTGCTAACTAAACATGTGCATGTGTTTGCATCTGTGATAAATTGTGTGCTGTAAACAGATAAACATCTGAGAATGAGAACAATGTGTGCAGCAAGCAAAAGACAGACAGAGAACATATTGGACAGAATAAGTAATGTATGTGTGTGCTGTCGTGTGTGTGTTTGTGTTTGTGTTGTGTGTGTTGTGTGTGTGTGTGTTGTGTTTGTGTGTGTGGTGTGTCGTGTGTGTGTGTCGTGAAGAGAGAGGTCAGAGCTGGAAAGTAAGTCTGTTTATACTTAGAGACTGAAAATTGCAGCCAGACAACATTTGATGCTATAGATCTATCTAGTCCTGTAGAGAAATGTACAACATTGGTAATCATAGTTGAAACAGTTGTCTGTAGGCAAAACAGTTCGCATGCCAGAGGAACAGGGTAACTACTTGAAAAACACCATCCTTACCAAGACATGTGGTTCAGAAGTGTTCAAAATGTTTTCTTATCACTGTCTGTCAATTTATTCAATGTTTATCATATATTTTTTACCAATTTATTTTATATTATATATATTTTTATATATATATATATATATATCATATTTTAAGTGTGTAACATTTTGGAGGATCATATTTACAGAAATGGAATTTGAAATGCATAACTATGTTTTCATTAGTGTTTAATCACCTGAAAAGAAGAATCCTTATGTTTTTGTTAGCTTAGAACAAGCCTTTTCTATTTATGAGGCCAGTAGCCCAGAACAGATAGATAGAACACTAGATAGGGCTGTTTGTGGTTGTTTTCATGGCTAGTTTCTTCATTGCACAAGCACAGTAAAGCATGGGAACCTGCAACTATACCACTAGTTGCCACTAAATCTTACACACTGGTCTTTTAACAGTAGTTCTGTGTCTCTACTTTATTATAATTAGAAGTAATTTGCTCAAGTCAAGTAGTAATTTTAAATTTTTCTAATTTGAAAATGTTCTGATCTTATCAAGGAAAATGTGAACACTGACATATAAGAATATATTCAATTGCAATTATTAGAACACTGCTAAAATATTGATTGTTCCACACCTACTGAGATAAATGTCCAGGTGTGTTTTTTGTTTGGTGAGAGAAGAGCCCAGGCTTAGAGGTTGTTTGTTGTCCAGTTAGCAAAATAAGAGAAATAGGACACCACAGGGTCCACCGTGGTCACAGGGTTTTCTTTTTCAGGTAACTGCTGAAAATATCTCAAAGGGGGAAGCTGAGTTGTAAAGACAGAAATATGTTGCTGCTTTCTGATGCAGACAGGAACAACAGGACCCAGCTACACACACACACCAAAAGTAAACTGTGTAAATAACTAAAAGGCATGAAACCTCCACTTGTTGGAAGTTTCACTGTTTTTATAACAACGAAACAGGATGTGATGGCAAATCCATCACCTTCTTTGGAGTGTTCAAGTCATGACTTTCTGGTGGCTTTACCATTTTCATCTCTTTAATTTTGTCATCCCATGTATCCACTATTTTTTTCTCTATATATTTGCTAAAACAAAGTACTAGTGAGGACTGCAGGCAGTGCGACAGGAGAAGTCAGAGGGTCAACAAAGTCACCTTGAATATCTGTAGCAAATGACAAATCCAAGTATTTGTCAAAATATTTCACTCTGAGCCACAAATCTCAACCTAGTGGAAGACACGAGTGTGTGTAAAAAATAAAATAGCAATCCTTTGAATACTTTTAACAGAGATATTTCAGTATGGACAAAAATGGTGGACGCTTGACACTGCTATCACCAGAGCTGTGCTGCTACTAGCATGGCTAACAAAGAAAAGAAAAATAAATTTGCTGTAAAATGCATATCCTTAAACTCAGAACTATGTATAAAATAGGACAGATATACCGCCTACCGCCTACTCCGAGCTTACTCTGGGAGGCTTGATAAACACAGGCCCAGATCCAGTGTGCACAAGAGGAGAAATTCCTACGCCTGCTGTTGACGCTGAGCAACTCATCAAAGCTCAATCAATCAACGGAGATTTAGTGTGTATGCAAAGTCGACAAATAATAAATAACAGAAGACACAAATAGCTTGGTAATGAAGCTACATGTGTAGATACAAGCCAAATAATTCAAACTAATATCACCTGCAGTGTGTCCTAATGAAGTGCACAAAATTGCATAAACACAGGCTGACAATGAGATCAAATGCAACTCAAAGTGTTACCAAGTTGTCTGCAATAACCAAGTGAGGGGGAAAAAAATGAGGCCATGGCTACAGCTCGAGATAATGGATAACACATGTGATTGGCTGTGCAGTATCCCACACAGTCATGGAAAATATGAGAAATAAGAGAGCAGCAGAGCCAAGCCGACGTTGGGCCCCTCTCAAGCCCAAACAAGGCCAATCATGAATCAATCAACATTTTTACTTCCATTTTCTGAGAACACCTGCACTTTAAGTGCACCGAATCTACGAGAGCGGTGTTTCTGAGATATAGACCTCTTCTAGGGAACGGGAGTGTGAGGTTGTTATAATAACCAGATGGTCATGTCCTGTCTGATCTGCGAATAAAAAGAAACAGCGCACAGTATAATATCAGGGGTAAATCACTGTCTTTAGCTGGCTCACATCCTCTTGTTTTTCATTTATTTTTCTGGGTCTTGCCTTGTACACAATTATTCCAGGAAAACAGGAAGGTCACAGTTGTCTTGAACTGGTCACTTAGTCATTTGTACTCGACAAACTGAAACTGATTTACTGAGGCACACCAATTATGATCGCATCAGCTGAGTAAGCAAAAAAATTTAATTCTTTAGACTAAAATTGGTGCTCTTCTTTAAAAAGATCATAATGATCGGGTTATTTTTGTTTTCATTTTTGCTTAATGTTATCCTGACTGCCACACAATTGTTCATGAGGTTAGTCAGCAGCAGAGCGGTAGAAGCCTCATAAGTTTAAATCAAATCCAACCCCATTAACTATGTGCAATGTTTAGCTTAGTTGTTGTTCGGTGTCTAAACTGTGTTCAAACTTCAAAATTCCTCTCTAATTGTGTCTCTTTCTACAATAAACAAGTCAAAACAGCCAACGAACATAGCTCTTACAATAAATACACCATATGTCTCGCTGCAACTAGATGAAACTCTCATATGATATGACCACATTTCATGAACAAACCAGCAACTGTATAAAAAGAAGACAGCAAGAGTGTTTTTAACAGCTGAAGACAAAGGGGTTGTTTTTCCAGTCCGTTTCCAGTGTGCACTGAGGTTGGCTGAGAGAGCTTATGCAGTCATCTGACGGGGGCAGCCATGAAGGTCTCTCTGGTCGTGGGGACCTCTCTGTCTGCCTCTGGTCTTCGCTCTGTGGTTTAAACTCATAAGCTCTGCAAACGGCCTCTAAACAAACCGTGACATTTTCATGCATATTTGGCAGCAGAGTCACTCTGAGCAGCCAGGGAGCCGGGCGCTGATTTAGAGAAAAAGAGGTTTGTTTAGCGGACTCCACTGACCTGAACTTTTGGGGGCTCTTGGTAAAAAAAAGGGGGCGAAAGAAAGAAAGAGAAGAAGGAGAAGTGAGCTAGGGAACGCAGGGGGAAAAGTTTCACATTCCACAACTCCCCAAACACAGAAATGCATTTGGTTCGTTCTGAAGACCTCATAATACATCCAGCTGCCAAACAGCATTCCTCGACTCATGCAGACAAAGGAAAATCCCTTTTACAGTCACAAATACATACAAGAGGCTAAATTAGTCGCAATTATCACAAGCTAGGTCTACACAAGTTGAATTTGTGACTACAAAGAACGGTCTTCTGACATTTTACACTTTTTAATGTTGATACATTCATTTTCTACATGCATGGATTTCTGTGCCAAGGACTTATTTTGTGGCTCTCTAATTCAGTAAACCCTGCCATACAAAAGTAAAACAGAAAAAATATCTTATTGCTTCTACTGTCACCATGGTCTGTACTATGAATACAAACACATTTTGGGATTACAAGAAACCACTTATTGTGCCATTTAACCTCACTATTTTTGGTTCACATGTACCTGGCACATCATACTTCACTCTACCAACATAATATTATTGTGTACATGAAGTACTTTCTCAGAGTTTAATACAACTAACACTCAAATAAGGCCATTGTAAAGTAAAGTATTAACGTGTTTCCTTCTCTGCTTTAACAAATGTACCCTTTATGCCCGGGGCCAGACAGCAAGTGTGACTGCCAAGCCATGCGGTCTAAACTTTCACAGACTTGGGCTTCCTCTAATATTCATCTGTGCATATCCAAGACCACAGAGAGTCAGATTTACTGACTGCGGTGCAAAAGTGTTTCCTGTTTTGGGCTCAGCCACATCCACTGAGGTCCTGCAGCCCCTCCAGTGTCTCGGCCGCAGCCATGTACCCAGTCGCTGCTACATGCTAAAGGATTATGGAAACACTAATGACCCCCATTATTTTCGCCTCATATTGTAGTGTTTCACCTATACAGAGCCACCTGTGGCACACAGCTACGGGTTGGTCACAGGTGCCACAGAATCCGATATAAAAGGGGATTTTTTGTCTAAATTCTCAATTCTGCACTAAGTAGTGAACAGACTGACAGGTAAAATAGAGAAATGTCAGTGTAGTAAAGAGGGATTCGCCAAGGAACCTGTAGGTAAAACAGCGGAGTCTGAATGCAAGAAAGCAAACAAACTTGAGGTGAGATGGTGGTTAATATTTTAGGCCAAAGGACGTTAAAATGTGTAACTGGCCTTGGTTAAGCCAATATTTACATGTATATTGTAAAATATCTTTACCCATTTCCTATAAATATTTATGGTTTGTATATTCCTCTGTAGTATTTTATATACTGACCATGGCAAGAGGAGTGTCAGACTGGAACTGTTTTATAATATATCAGTAATAATATTAATAATAATTTAATAAGCAGAGGAGAAGGGGTAGGATATTTGTTAAGTGTATATCACTTGCTTCCTACTCCCTTCTGACATGTATGATTCAATTTAATTTGTTATGGAGAAATTAACAACTGAGCTGTTGCATATATCAGGTTTGACCTGTTCTCGTTTTTCTTTTCTTTTTTCTCTCATTGTATATTTCTCTCATTTCACTTTTGTTGTGATCTTATTTTTAGTGTTTTGTTGGCTTTTACATTTTACAAAATTCTCAATCAATCAATAATCTTAACATCTTGCACTATCCACTTCCATATACAACAATTCCAATTTGATTTTGGCTTTTTGAATTGTATTTCTTTGTAAGTATACTTATTAACTTCCCAGTACACCTGATATCAAGCCTGAATATGATTATATTTATTTGCTGCCAAAAGACAACAGTTAAGGATGCGGCAGGGAGTTCCACAAGCTCACAATTGTGTATTCAATGGAGGATAAATAAGCAGATGCAGTAATGATAAGGAAGGATGGGGTTTAGGCCGGGGGCTGTTTGGGTGTGACGCACAGCTGAAAATACAGCTACTCGATGCTGATGGCACCACATGATAGGCTGTCTATTAGGGCAGCACAATGGAATTACTCCGATAAATACTTCATTTTAGAATCACTATGTCCAGATCTTTTGCAGGTGCCCATTTCGAATTTCAAATGAACCTGTGTCTGAGGTCTGACAGTATAACCTGGCTTCATGAACCTCCTGACCTGGGGTTAAAGTGGGTCTGACACCACATCCTAGATTTCAAAGACAAGGAAAGGGGTGAGCAGAGGTTTCTATGACAACTATAGGATTATACACCGTTATTATTGCTAGTTACTTCTAGTTCTCTCAGCCATAAGGTCTGCTCCTCTCAACACAGTGCAGATGTAGACCCCTTTCTTGTGTGAACAGCAACAACCACAAATTAACCATTCTGGAATCAATGGTCAGACACAGGTGTGTGTGAATCCCTCTGTGACTTTTAGGAAAAGCTAAAACTTCTGTGATCAATCAGATCCGACAAAAGACAAATGGAGAAAAACAACAGTGCAAACGAGAGAGAGAGACATACAAAAGCAATTTGAGACAGAGAGGGAAAATGATTGCCACATCACAGCTGAGCCCTTTGGTTATTTAGTGCATCGGTCTCCAAATCCTCTATTAAACTCACATGAAAAACACCCCAGCTACGATGTTTCACATTTTACACATCAGCAAATTCAGTGCTGTGGAAAGATGGTGTGGTATTCAGAGTGACAAAAATGACTTTTCTTCTCACATCCTCAGTGTTTTTCACACCTCACCTTCAGATCCTGACACCAGCTTAACACTGGGCGTGAGAAGCCTATTTGAGCCAGGAAACACTGATTCATGGAGCTAGCCTTCTGACAGAGGGCAGCTAAGCATCTTAGCACTACTGCTAGAAGAAGAGTCATGAGTAAATGAATATGATAGAGTATGTGGTGTTCAACTATAGCGCCTTAGGTTGTGAGTGTAACAAATTTTTTCCAGGAAAGCAAACAGTGGACTTGAATGTTTTTTGTTTGGTGGCAGACATGAGACGGGGTCACTTTACTTAAGTCAACACAATGTGACATACAAACAACTTCAACAGCTGGTTGTAGTGAGATGGTGTGCGATTCCTTGTGAACACCTACCTCAACATCCTGCAGGCTGAAGTCATTCTGGTCTTTGAAGTTGGCGGCCCCGGCGCTCAGCTCCATCAGCATCTTGGCGATCTCAGGCTTTATTGCTGCAGTCAGCCTGCTGGCCGCCTCCATGACGTGTTCCTGCACGTCCTTCAGTTGCATAGCTGCTTTGGAATAGTGAGAGTTCCTGAACACACTGCTGAACAGGTCTGTGAGGAAGGCGCTGGCCCGGCAGAACACGTTGAGGGCATCCAAATATTTGGAGATGCCTTGCTGGATGTCTGCAACCGCGGTAGTGGCGCCAGAAGGAGGTGGGTGGCAGTTGCCAGGCATGCCCACCCCGGTGCCCATGGGCGAAGAGGCCGAGCAAGAGGAGGCCAGGGAGGCGCTCAGGGTCCGGCTCAGCTCAGGCATCTGGTACTGCTGGTGCTGTTGCACTTTCTGCTTGGACCCGCCGAGCAAAAAGCGACGCTTGTAGTCCATTTTACTTTCCTGCGCACTACAACAATACATAAGTGGTGCGACAGCACCGGAAGCTGCGGTTTTTAGTTCGTTTTTGCCCCGCAAAGTGCTCTTGTCCTTTTTACAAAAACAATAAACCCAACTGTCCTGAAACTGTTCAAGTTACGTAAAAAGACAGCTCAAGGATTTTACCTGCCAGAGGCTCATCTCAGTGTGCCTTGTAGAGAGGCAGCACAGACTTCGGTGAGGTTGGAGGTCGATCAAAAAGACTGGCAGGCTGAGTGAAATGCTTACATGCAGCCCTGCTGCAGATACGTCAGACCCAGCTTAAAAACAGCACAGACACACCTCCAGATTCTCTGTTTCCAGCTTCAGAAAAAAATATCATAATAGGCAAGGAAAAGTCAAAAACACTCCTTAGTTTACTTTAAGTGGTACTACAGCCAAGTTTTAAAGTGCATTAACTTTCCTTCAGAATGGGAAAAAAAAGTCCTTCTTCATACAGTATATAGAGTATATACACATATGTATTTACATATATAAAGTTATACCAGCCTGCACTAATAAAAGTAGAAAATCCTTTTAAAAGCTGAGAGGAAAAATGAAAATTGAATCCAAGGAAAATGAGACACTGGTCAACAGCACAGAGGGAAAATGACAGTAATAAAACAAAACAAAAAACAAGTACGTAAATGCTGGAATCAGAGGATGTGGTTTCGGCTCTTGTGCACTGGCTGGTTGAGGAGCTGTGGGAGGCGCAGGGCAGACAGATCCAGTCCGTCTCAAATCCTCTTCACAAAGCAGGGCTCTGCAGGCAGTGAGCGAGTGGCCAGCTGATAGCTCTGTCTGCCTGCCTGAAGTCTCCAGCAGCTTCCTGGTTTCTCCCCTGTCTGCTGGCTGAGGTAGATATTACTCACCGCGGAAACAAGTGTGCTTCCAGATCTCGCTGTTCTCCGCGGATGCAGATTAGAGCGACAAAAGCACAAATGTATCTGTAAGGCCTCTAGGTCATTTCCTAAGGGAGGAAGGGGCAGAGACACAGAAGAGAGGGTTAACATCACGTCAGAGAGGAAGGATGAGCTTCGTTTCAATTGTTTTACTGTTACACCCCCGAATAAACTGCCCTTTGCAACTCCAAACATAACCAATAGATATGCAACTCATGAAAATATTGACAAATAAGGTTTCAATTAAAGGTTTAATGACAAGTCTGAATGTTATGAAGAGTCAAAGGAAAATAATTTGTCAAATAATTAGCCTTTGAAAACAGTAGGTCTAGCAATAATTCATATTCTTGTGTAAAAACCTCACTGGCTGATCACACTGAAAGCAGAATTGAGGAAGTTCACAATAATTATTTCGCAATACAAAAATTGAGTAACATGAAGCCTGAATCCAAAAATAACGTATTATTTATAAGAAATGGCTGTTCCACTTGAAAACACAAGATGAACATGTTTGAGCTTGAGTCATCACATTTATATGCAGTCAAACTGTGTTTCTCTACAGTGGCTGACCACTGGCCAGAAATGGCCTTGTGTTTCCCTTTCTTGGGTCTAGTCTGTGGTGTGCATCGCAGTCACAGTCTGAAAAAATCTTTTACATTTATAAATTGGCTGGTTGTATCGAAATAAGGTTTCCATCTATGTAAATGATCTATATGATATGTATGCTGTAGCAGACAAAAAAATGCTATTTAATTTCAGTTGTAGAAATGTATCAACTGTTTGACTTCAACCCTCGAGTGGCCACGAGTGGCTGGTCCACTTCATTCCCAAATCATCACTGCATGTGTCTCGTCATTGATTAAAAAACATTGCCTCGCTGTTCGGGAACACGGTGATTGCACTCTCAGCTTGGCCCCCGACCAGAAGCTCGTATAAATGCCATCACTGATAAGATAGCAAGATTTTT